CTAATATGCTAATTTCACTATTTCTGCAGCGTATAGCATATATACTGTTCACAGAATGCAAATAATCTGTATACTACATCAAAACTTGCAGTATACAACAGAGAACACAGCAAGGAATCCCATAATGCACTGCACTTAACTTGACTTTCCATTTCCTGTGTGACAAATGAACTGTATTATCAGCTGTGATGTCACTGTTAAATGTTAAGACATTTTATACAAAACGGATAAAAAAACTAAACAACTCTTGTTTATTTCCAAGAGAAGTGTTTGCAACTCACTACAAGTAATATAGTGTACTACTGTTTGAAACATTTAGTGTTGATTAGCATTAAGATTAGATTAGTTGTTCAGCATGTGCTAGTATTATTCAGTACATAGAAAGCTAATACTACTACTGTTTTGAATGTTGGCACTGTCATGCTGTTTGCATGTTCTGTCTCATATGTGTAAAACAGAAGGCAGTATTTAGTGTATACTGAGCAGTATGCTAGTATTTTGTTTCAATAGTCTTTGTACCAACAAACGGAGAGTGTTACCATTAGCATAGAGAAAATTGACTAATCTGCTTGCTAATCTGTTTTTGTAGTTTGTGGAATTTCTGTATTAGAAAATACATAGCACGTTTTTATAATGTCGAACTGAGTTACTTTTTCTGAAAGAGAAAGATTAGTGGTCACCTAAATGCCATGTGGCAAAAATGTAGCATTATCTAAATTTAACCAATCGATGACATTTAGGTAACTACTAAATCTTTATCTTTTAGACAAATCAATTCAGTTTGACACAATAAAAACTTGTCTCATCTTAATACAGAGATTTTACAAAAAAAAAAAAAAAAAAAAAAATTAGAAAGCTAGCGGTTTGCTCCATGGTGACAGTGGCCTGTCTCCAGGACTACCCAGTGTTTGGGCCTCCAGTATGGATGGTGCCAGCATTGCGTTGTTGCCGTAGCGTGGACGGCGATGGAGCAATTTGTCCAGGGGGTGAATGGGGAGTGGGATCTCTAACCTCTGAGCCAAAGCTGAGGAGCAAATGAGGCCAGAAGAGGGATATATCTGGAATCACAAAACTTTGTTCATTCAAGCAAAGCGATTGTGGTTATTTTGTGTTGCAGAAGTCAAAAGAGAATAAGTCTAAATGAACATATGCTGATAGCAAAACTGCCTATAAGCAAATGTTTATTTTGAGTGTGTGTTTTTCAGGGAATCTCATTTGTGTCACAATAGAGCTCCAGAACTTTCTGAATGAAGCTTCCGTCCGGATGAGGACTGGAGAAAAGCCACGATAATCCATGGCAACCAACACTCCTCTTGGCCATCTTATGAACTTCATGACCTCACAGAGTAAATAGAGACCTTTCTGGAGCGATATCTGATTTGACTGCTTTCAATTACAATCATTTTGGGTGGGAAAACAGAAACATTCTCATGTTTATGAAAAATATAGAGTATAGAGTCACTCAAAGCAACTGATATGATGATGTTGATGTTATATCAACTAAATGTACAAAACTTGCCAATACCATGACCCAAATATCTTTAATATTCTGGTCAGCATAACAGGAATATGGATCACTGACAAACCAGAATGTCCAAATTAAAGAAATTGAGAAATCTTGTATTCAGTTTAAAATGAATGTGCCAAGCAATATTTTCAACCATTTGTTTTAAATAACTTAAACTTAACTTAAACGTATTAACTGTAATATTTTCATGTACTGTAACCAAAGATCTAATAAATACCAATGAAATAATAAATAATATATATTTTATCAATTTAATGGTTTAGCCATATACACATAAATGCACTTAAATGCTAATTAACGCTGACAATTATTTTATCGCGCATCAACACAGTTTTTAATTATATTATTTTTTTTTTTAAATATTATTAAAGTCCGTTGCTCACTGCCTCTGAATACACATACAGACAAACCATGGGTCACAGGAGGGGTGGGATGTTGATCAGTACTGGCTTGGGATGGGTGTCATCACGTGTCTCAACCAATGAGAGCATTTGGAGTGGGCCTAAGACTGCAGCAGCGCTCACATGAACGGCGCTCCCGATAAAATTATTTAGGCTAAGCATCAACAGTCACAAACGACTTGTCACGACTTGATAAGTGGGAAATAAGAAGTTTCCGATAGCAAGTGAAGGCAGCAGAGAAGCGCTCTCACTCAGCACAGTGGAGTGCATCGTTTTGTGGTTTATTATTTTGAGTCGTTTGGGACACGGTAACACACGGCCCTCTCACAATATATTGCTTTACAGATCTATCACTCTTGCTACTCAGAAATGTTCATGCAATTGTGCTGCAGGTATCAGAAGTTCCGCGCTCCGGCACAGTTAGCGCTCACCCTCACTGATCTATAGATAACGGAACCGCGCTCTGGCCCACCTCTTCCAACCGAGACAGGGACGGCTAAACGAACCATGCCCGAGCGCAGCACGGAGCAATCACACTAGTCAAACGAACCGGGCTTTGGGGGTCAAACGTGCTCGGGCACAGTTAAGATTGCCTAGTGTGAGTACACCCTTATTCTCCTGCATCCCACACTCCCGGGATACGGAAGGTGCCTGTTATAATGTTATGATTGAGGCTCTGGACTCTGACTCTTGTTTTTTTTCTATAACAAAATAACAAACATTTTCTATAAAAATGTTAATGCCCTGGCAGTGGCAAATAGCTTTGGTTAGAATAAGTCTAAATGAACATATGCTGATAGCAAAACTGCCTATAAGCAAATGTTTATTTTGAGTGTGTGTTTTTCAGGGAATCTCATTTGTGTCACAATAGAGCTCCAGAACTTTCTGAATGAAGCTTCCGTCCGGATGAGGACTGGAGAAAAGCCACGATAATCCATGGCAACCAACACTCCTCTTGGCCATCTTATGAACTTCATGACCTCACAGAGTAAATAGAGACCTTTCTGGAGCGATATCTGATTTGACTGCTTTCAATTACAATCATTTTGGGTGGGAAAACAGAAACATTCTCATGTTTATGAAAAATATAGAGTATAGAGTCACTCAAAGCAACTGATATGATGATGTTGATGTTATATCAACTAAATGTACAAAACTTGCCAATACCATGACCCAAATATCTTTAATATTCTGGTCAGCATAACAGGAATATGGATCACTGACAAACCAGAATGTCCAAATTAAAGAAATTGAGAAATCTTGTATTCAGTTTAAAATGAATGTGCCAAGCAATATTTTCAACCATTTGTTTTAAATAACTTAAACTTAACTTAAACGTATTAACTGTAATATTTTCATGTACTGTAACCAAAGATCTAATAAATACCAATGAAATAATAAATAATATATATTTTATCAATTTAATGGTTTAGCCATATACACATAAATGCACTTAAATGCTAATTAACGCTGACAATTATTTTATCGCGCATCAACACAGTTTTTAATTATATTATTTTTTTTTTTAAATATTATTAAAGTCCGTTGCTCACTGCCTCTGAATACACATACAGACAAACCATGGGTCACAGGAGGGGTGGGATGTTGATCAGTACTGGCTTGGGATGGGTGTCATCACGTGTCTCAACCAATGAGAGCATTTGGAGTGGGCCTAAGACTGCAGCAGCGCTCACATGAACGGCGCTCCCGATAAAATTATTTAGGCTAAGCATCAACAGTCACAAACGACTTGTCACGACTTGATAAGTGGGAAATAAGAAGTTTCCGATAGCAAGTGAAGGCAGCAGAGAAGCGCTCTCACTCAGCACAGTGGAGTGCATCGTTTTGTGGTTTATTATTTTGAGTCGTTTGGGACACGGTAACACACGGCCCTCTCACAATATATTGCTTTACAGATCTATCACGTTTGCTGCCCAGAATTGTTCACGGAATCATGCTGCACGTATCAGAAGTTCCACGCTCTGGCGCGGTTAGCGCTCACACTACATGCATACCACATCCTGGCCCACCTCCTCCAACCGAGCCAGGGACGGCTAAACGAACCGCGCCTGAGTGCGGCACGGAGCAATCACACTAGTCAAACGAACTGGGCTTTTGGGGTCAAACGCGCTCGGGCACGGTTAAGATTACCTAGTGTGAGTACACCCTTATTCTTCCGCATCCCGCACACACGAGCCTCTACCCGCCCACACTCGGCCAACAAGTGTTGGGTCCCGGGATAGTGCTGGTCGGAAGGTGCCTGTTATAATGTTATGATTGAGGCTCTGGACTCTGACTCTTGTTTTTTTTCTATAACAAACTATAAAATATTTTCTATAAAAACGTTAATGCCCTGCAGTGGCAAATCGCTATGTTTTATATTTAATTTGATTACATTAATGTTTAAGTTGAGATTTACAAGAAATATTTTAACTGCTACTATGTCAAATGAATACTGCTGTAAAAAAAAAGCACCTTATTTGTTTAAAGTGTTTGCAAACCAAATTTTATTGCACTTTTGTTCATATAGCAGTACTTTTAGATGAAAAAGTGCACAATACACTACTTTTGAATTCATTATTGAATTCTATGCATAACAATGCAATTAATTGCGGTTAATTGCAGAAAAATCATACGATTCATCGCGATTAAAAATTTAATCGTTGCCCAGCACTAATATATATATATATATATATATATATATATATATATATATATATATATATATATATATATATACACACACATATAATGGCATCACTAGGTTCTGTCATTCAGAAACATGACTTTTCATATCACTGCTATGCTGATGACACTCAACTCTACCTCTCATTCTATCTTGATGATCCGACGATAGCTGCTAGCATCTCAGCATTATATATATATATATATATATACACACACATATAATGAATTGCTGATTTACAACCTAAGACTGCTTTGTCAGATCATTTAATATTATGTGCATTTTTAATGTATTAAAATAAAATGAGTGCCATGTCATTGACCCATATTAATCCTCGCATTAACATGCAAATTTGAGTTCATGCCTTCTGACAAGCCAAGCTTACCTCTCTACCACATCTTCTCCACTCCAGCAGGTGTTTTCATCCATCACCACCTCCCCCTCGCACAGCATCTCCGGCAGGGTGGAGAAGAATGATTTGTACCGCTGGATGTAGCCCATAAACTCCCTGCAGGAAGTTCAGGCTTTCAGGAAGTTATCAAAAACCATCAAATCAGGCATAATTATACAGTAGCCTACAACCAGTTTTGCCTCATTCATCACGCTAATCAAACATGCCCAAACACTGATAGACACAAGCGGCAGATTGGCCTCCCGTACTCGTTTGTGATTGTTATTAATGCTGACAGTGTTCTTCCTTGCTCGCACACGTTTATTTGATGTGGGATTAAATCATTAGAACATTCTTCGGCTGACAGCCAAAATAATTTTATGACAAAATAATTAGAGAGAATTTTTCTTTTAAAAAACTTGGAAACCTGGAAGCTGAATTGCTACTGCTTACTTTGAAATCTTTTTCAGGCTTCTGGGTTTGTCGTTTTTGGACGGTTTCAGAGGCAGAGACCTGGGGTCATCGACAAGTGCAGATTTGAGAGAAAAGAAAATGGAAGAAAGAGAGACAAACAGCAGGGAAGTTACTATTTACAATCTGAAACATCTGATTGGTAAGGATTTTAATTTGTTAAAGGGTCAAAATATGTTCAACAATTATATGCAGTGACCTTATATGCATTTGCCATTATATGCTCTTATATGCATATACCATTTATATGCAGACTCATTTTCTCACCTTCTTTTTAGTGTTATGTGCTCAAATTGGTTGCCTGTAGTAGGTAGTGTTGTAGGACTGGAGGATGTGACTGAGGGTTGGAGTTCAATGGTTGGGTTTACTGAAGGAGTCACACTTCTTGAGGTGGGACTGACTGGAGTGGAGGAAACCGGTTCAGTCAAGGAACCACAAACTTTACCCACCTGAAAGAGATATGAAGAATTATTATGTGTTTGAAAAAGTATGTAAGAGAAAAAAAAAAAAACGGCGAATGGCACAATTTAGGCCTCTGTGAACTGACTCACACCAATTCAAAGAGATTACTCCATCTAGTGGCCACTAATAAATGGCACAATATCACTCTATTAATATTTACAATATTATTGATTTCTAGTTAGAACAAACGTGCACAATAAGTTCAAACTTTCACTGTATTGGATACTGAATTATTATATGTGAACATTTTTGTATACATAAAATGTGTATTTCTTTTTATTCAGCCTCTCATCATCGCTAAATAAAAAAAAAAAGTCAAAATAAGCTGGACAATCATAGCCCGTTTTGCCATAGCTGACATATATTAGCTATATCCTAGAAATTAGAAAACGGAATGAGGACTTAAAAAGTTATAAATGTGAGCACCTGTAAACGTGTTTGTATTTGTATATCTTCTACAAAGCTTTATTTATCTAAGGATTAGCCGAGCTCTCTTATTCCCCTACTCTGGCCCCTCGCTAGCTGCATTGCATTTTGGGAAGGGGCCGGCTGGTTCACGGGAGCCGTCTTTGTCCAGAGGTGAATTTGCATGCAGGACATCAGGCTGATTGTGACCAGACAACACCCAAACAACTCAAGCAGCACCAAGATAGCGCCAGACCACATGCAGCGTGAGGGACTGGAGAGACCACATAGTCCTCCATGTCAATGCCAGTGCTGGGCGGCACATATAGATATCTTATAAACAATGAAGATATCACAAGTTATTCTTCAGAATCTCATTGTTTTTACAATTAACAACAGCATTATAACGAACCTGATTTCATTTGTAGTGTACATCTAAGTCCCCAAATGCTAATATGTAAGCGCAAATGCTTCTCGCAATGCAAGCTTGTGTTCTGAAATGTGACTGAATGCAATTTGTAACACATCACAGGTATGAATTATATCCTGACCACTGCATAAGGAGCCTTATTGTGACATTAGCATAAACGATCATTTCTGTGGTTACAGTAAATAAAGCAATATACAAAAGAAAAAAAAGGGGAAAAAAGCAGTATTTTTTGTTATTCATCCATAACTTGGCAGAAGCTAACCAAATGAGCTAAATGCCAACATGGACAAGTATCATGACTTATTTTGGGTTCTTATCCTGAAAAACCATGAACAGATCTATGAAAGGCAGGTAAATAAAAACCACATCAAATAGGTGATGATACACATGGGTTGTGCAGCTTCTAACAGCATAAAACAAATCACAATTAAATTTTTTGTAACTTTGCTTCTATGTTGGGCTGCCACTTGATGTCCAATGTAAGTTCTGTGTCCCAAAGCGGAACCACTGGTGTAGTTTTTGTTTTGGCCAAATCATAACTTCATTGATCAGTCTACAGGTCAATTCCACTAGGGTTGTATCTAACTTAAGCCTGGGTCCAGACCAGGTAACGCGAGCCCGAAGTCATTCCAGCCTGGCATCAGTGAGTGAGCAACATTTGATCCAGTGATGGAGTGTTTAAGGGGGGTCAAACTCCCACAAGCAGCCTCCATTGTAGAGCAGTAAGTTTGGGGTTGGCGTTTATGGGGGCTGCGGTTGTGGGCTTAAGTAATAATATCTCCCATTCTGACTGGCAAGTCTATGCTCTTTGAGAGAGATTTGTGGGAATGCGGTCTCAAACTTGACCTACCCATATAGAGCTGTCATCACCAGGACATGATGGGTGCAAAGCTGAGCTGTCACAAAACCCTTAACCCCTGTGGCCCCTTTAGCCATGATTCCAGTGAAAGAATCGAGTGAGAGAGACCGACAGACGGTCGTCCTATGTCGTGAACACAGACTCTGGCGTTGATGGTATGAATAGCCTAGGGTGGGCGGCTGGGTATTCACTTACAGACAGCCATAGTCACACTGTCATGACCAACACATTTTTTTTACAGTGCGTTTCATATTACCACATAATCACACTCCTAATCATTGAGCTAATAATAAACCCCTTGTAGATATAATAATTGCAAGACTTCATAACACCATTGAGAATAAGACCAAGTATTTTTACGCTAAAAGCTCATTTATAAGAATTATCAATTTAAGATTTAAGTACATGCAAGAATAGCAGTTGAATAAAACTGCAGCCTTGCAACTGCATAGCCTGATTGGGTGAGACATTTGATATGCACCAATCACTGAACATGCTGCTGCAAGTGCATGCAAGCTAGACCTGATTAGTCCAGCATATGGTGCAGCTCATTTGTGGAATAAAAATAAACGTGTTCTATGAATCAGAGAAGCATGACTCACCATGGCGCTGAGATGTGGTCCATGGAGTTGCGCAGTAAGGATGGCATCGTTAATTCCTTCCCGGATGCGTAGAAGTGCCAGTTCCACTTCGTATCCCCCTGACAGTGCCCCGCTCAGCCCCTCCAGCAATGCTACATAGCGTCTCCAGGGCCCATCCAGCTCAGCTAGACCTGCCAGGCAACCCCGCATCACATTGAGACACAGGCCTCCGCAAGGCCGGATCAGGGTCAATCCACGGCAGTGCGGACAGAACAGCATCCGCACCAGTGCACGTCCACATTGGCGCGCCATTCCCCCCGATTCGGGGGCATTCAGAACCTCGGACCCCATCGCCAGTGCCCGACTGAGGGCACGACCGGCCACTAGTGCCCTAGACAGTCCCTGAGCAAGTTCTTGTGGGTGAGGGCCAAAGGGGTTGATGTCATGCCGAGTGGCACGTAGGCATTCGCTTCCTTCAGAGGACCAGGTAGAAACATTTGAACCCAAGCCCGGATTGACCAAGTGTTGGTATACCAATGGGAAAAGTTTGTCGTAGAAACTGTGGACTGAGTGTTCTACAGAGATGTTGGCCTCACCACGGAGGTAGAGGTCAAGGTCAGAGAAGAGGGTAGACACCAAGGGTTTAGCGTCTTGAGAGATCGCCCCGTAGGTGCTGTCGAAGAGCGAGTAGGTATGATTTAGAGTGAAGGAGAGCAGGGAATGGAAGGTATCTGCAGGAAGAGGAAGTAAAAGAGAAATTCTGGACTGAACAAGCACTTAAATTAACGTCCCTAAACAGCATAGCCAACCTTCATGCATAAACATTCGTAACATGAGAGGTCTCATTTTGTTTGACATTTATGAGAGGGTCAAACATACTAGTCCGTCACAGTACACCTCTGCCTTGTCTAGCATTGCTTACAACTCTTTCTTATGCATCTAATCTCTCTTTCCATTGGACTAATGGAAGCTGACAACACTTAATCCATGGATCTTTTGGGCTGGCGCTATTGGGCTGAAGGTTAGTTTGGAGATATGTGACACATGTGACTAGCTTATTACCAATTTTAGCAGTCAGGGTGACATCTTATACTTCACTATGCCTCCGGGTTGCAAATGGAAGTTGAGGATCATAGTCAATTGTAACATATGCATTATTTACAATGGCATATTAACTTTTGTGTGACATGTGACAGACGGGTACTTAAGTTGACAGCTGGTAGAACCCTTCAAAGTGTAGTTTGCTTTAATGTCATCTCATTCATAACGACCAAAGCATTCCAGCTCCGTCTTGTTTCTCTGTGAATAACTAGCATGCAAACAGCAAGCCAAAAGTTATGATTGCTCTTTATTGATGGAGGAACAAAAGAACACCTGTTTGGCTCACAGTACTAAAAGACACCCATAAGAATCTTCCTATAACAAGCCTTTGAGGTTTTGCAAGAAAACTGGCAGAGATTCTGAAATGATCCATCAGTGTTCTTGCTACTGGCATTCACATCTCTCGATGGCTCTCCAGGCATCCTGTAATTCCAACAATATGTGAGTAACCTTTTCAGGTCAGAAACTATATCTTGATCCCTTCACTCATGCCCCATACATCAGAGTCGGGACGTGTGGTTTGTATGAAGAATTTCAGGTGGCTGGTACTGGAAACATGTTTAAGCACTTAGCAGTAAATCTATATTTAAAAAATGGTTCAAATCAAACACTTGTAGCACTAGATGCCTAAAAATTCAGATTAGGGAGTATCCTGGTAACTACATCCAAACACTTCAGTATCAGGTGACATGGCAGGGGATTATGCCCAGATAATGTAATGGGGTTCTTCTCATATGGTTCTGGGCCATGAAGGCATGTGGGGGGAGGTCACGCAGATCGCAGGGATCACCGAGGGTGCCCAGGATCCACCACAACTGACCTCTCACCTCTAAGACAGCAGGATGTTCCAAGAAGATGGACAGTAGGGTCAACTTGGATGACCATACCCCTGATCACTCTATTAACTCAGTGCCTACTGGATTTGATGTGGGTCCTACTTTAAAAAAAAAATCAGTGTCAGAGTAACTCCACTCACTCCATGGTCAAGGACTGAATTTATATCAAGAGAAGACATCACACAGAATTTTTAGTGCCTTTTAGGTTGGAGAGGATAGTTGGGCTTTGTTGGACAGATGGTATGTGATTTGCTTTACAGTGAAATTACTTTTTAAAGAAACAGAGAGGACTTTTTAAAGAAATAGAAACACCCCAAAATGTACTCACTCTCAAATCTTTAACAGATCATCCTGCCTGCATTTTAGGATTGACGTCAGCAATATCAAACATCTTTGGTTCTCACATGTCTCATCATTGGCGTCGTTTTTGGACCCATTAAGAAAAAGAAATTCTGCAAGATATTTACTTTTGACTCTCTTGGGAGTGTGTCTGTTTAAGAGTTAGTTCACCCAAAACTTCTGTTCTTACCAGTATGATTTTCTTTCAGAAATTTTCGTTCATACTTGAATTATTACTTTACCCAGGCATATAGACAAAAAGCGGTCTACATTAAAAATCCTCTTTCACGTGGGAATGAAAAACACTTTACAGACCTTCTTTCTTTTAAACAGGACACCAGCTACAACCATGCGAAAAGTAGCAGAAAAAAACAACTGATCTTTTCAAAAGCTCTCATTATAGAGCAATACATTGAAGTGCACTGAGACGGATCTCCATGGATACGCCAAGAATTTCAACATTTTTCTTTTCGTTTGCTTTAAACTCGTTAAATATTCACTCGGCTGGCAGCAAAGACAGAGAGGACGGCGACAGTGTCCTTTTCCTGTGAACCTGAAAGGGTTTTTGTGCACGTTTGGGCGGACAAATTGGATGAACTTAAATATTTGGTTGGGCGAGGACTTGTAAATTTGAAGCGTCTTATGTCTAATGTTATACATAAAAATGCCCTGGAGTAGATAATGACATGCATGGAGTCAGTCTAAGTGTGTGTGTGTGTGTGTGTGTGTGTGAGAAACATCTTTCTGATTGCTTCTTTTTGTACGTTTTATTCAAACACTGATTCTGAAAAGCATTGTCCTAATCCTAAAGCGCCAATCAACCTCTAAGAAGCACATGTACTGCTTCACAGGAGACATCAGGCAGATAAAGGATCATTCTGAGAGTGTGAAAAACAGTGGACAAAAAGCAAATCTCCAAGTAACCCTTGGAAAGTCACGGTATACGACTCATAACACCACCCTGGTGTCTCCCATACATGCATACAAAGCCACAGCATGCAGTGAACGTGTGAACCACCTGCTGTGGCAGGGACTTGATCCCATGACCTCTTGCTCCTGCTGCAAATGCAAACAGCACATGGCCTAGTATTTATTCAACAGATAAGCTCCACTCGATATCGATACGTACCCTGGAAGGAAGAGGCATGGCCCAGGATGAGATATTTGAGTTCGAAACTATAGGAGAGAATGTTCTGGAGTGTGTCTCTCTTGGCAGCGGCGTAGTAGCTCTCTTCCATCTTGCGGGTGCAGCATGTGGGACCCTGGTGTTTGCAGATAAGAAGATCTGCATCTATGGAGGATTAATCATAGAAGGTGTTTCAATTCTAGGGCCATTTTTGACTACTTGATACCTTAATGAATCCTTTCAAAACTCTGTCTCTCTTTAATCAAGTCTTGCAATAAAGTTCTGATAATGTTTTTTATTGGTACGATTGTTTGGTTTGTTTTTTTGGTATGTTACCTTTTCCATTTTTGGCATTTCAGGTATCGTTTTGCATTTTGTTATTGTTCAAATATACCTGAAATTGAGCTGTTTAATGGCAGATACCATTTCAACCACTTGTTGTGATCATGGTCGTAATTATTCATCAAGTGGATTTGGTATGGATTTTGGATATTATCTGTGGCAATATACACATAAATCCCCAAATATGATTTGAAAATATTTTAAGTGTTATTTTTTTTAAGGTACAAAGAGAAAGCACAATGTACAATTTCCCTGATTTTAACAGTTTTTGTAACTTTACTACAGAGAAAAAGTAAAAATCTAGATGAACCTAAATTATGGAAAATGCGACCTTTCAACACTTAAAAATTAAGAACAAAACAATTAAAGTGACTCAACAAAAACGTTACAGCTACTATATTAAGTTCTTTAAAACTACAATAAAATGACAAAAAAAGCATTTTGTCTTTAAAACATTCATATGGGTCCGAAATAACACACACAGAGTGCGGCTGTATGGCAAGAAGGTGCATGTAAAAGAGGAGAGCACATGTGATAAAGACAGATGATATCTGCTCAGTCAGTCACCCTGCCCTATCCTATGTGACCAATTTTACACCGATGGGACCCTATAAGCCATGCATTAGAACAGCTGACTGGCATTCTGCTGACCTCTCTCACCTTTCAATACACATGGAGCAATGCCTTGAAACTTGCGCACTAAGAATAAAACTTTGTTTTGTAACAGTCGTACTTTTCAAATGTATCCTTTCCATAAACAAGAACTTGAGACAAACCTAATATGCCCAGTTTAAATTTCATAGCAACTCCCAAATTTTTTTTAAATGACTTCTATTCAGGAATGTGTTTTTGATTTAACATGAAATGTGGAACATGAAAACCATTCGACAGCCTATCCTACAGTGGTGTTAATTTTGTCAACACCACTGACATGTCTGATTTATGCTCTGTCATCAAAATGACTTATTTGTTAGATGGCTTTTTTGGACACACATTACATTACAGTTGACATAGTACAACATAGCTATGCCTAATGTAGGCCTATATGTAAACATGTACAGTAATACTAATAAATTGATAGGCTATGTAAATATTTTCTGGATCATTAACTAACTTCACTTCTTTTGTCTAACTAACTACACATCATCTAAACTATTTTAAACAATATCTTTCTAATTCCTGTATAAATATTATCATGACCTAAGAAATCATTTGCCTCATGACAGGACTATTTAAATGGAAAAGGTGATTAAAACGGTCAAAAATGTCAGTCACAAAGGTACATACAAAATAAGCTACATTTTGACGAAAAGGTCACATGCATTTGTTGTCACGCGTGTATGAAATGTTATATAACATTATATTCTTAATTACAATGTAAGGTTTTGTATATTCATTTCGGGTATTGTTAATTGCGTTTCCGTAATAGTTACAGCTTAAATTTAGCTGCAATTAAGCTTTACAACAACTTAAAGGGACAACATGCCCCGCTATTGGTCAGTGTGTTTAGTTTGCTGTAACTTTTTTCTTGGGCAATAATTGTGCAGAGTGAATCAATATACAAAGAATTAACCTCTGAATAAGAAGGCCGTTTGAAATAGTGTGGAGAATATGCATGTTTAGCTATATTAGACACTGCTTCTCACAGTAACCCTCGAGTATTTATAAACGAACCTGTTGCCGCGGTCTCCGGAACCCATCTTAATGAACCGACTTGGCGCAGCTGGAAAGCGGTTTTCACCTCATGACAGCTCTGCGCGCTGGCGCAGTGAACTCTCCATATTAACACACTGGAGAGCAGGATCCACAAGCAACATACACGCGGTGCTGTCCTGCGGAGCATTGCACCATCTCAGTCCACAGAAAGCCCTCTGAGCCAATGTATGAGAAAGAGAAAAGCCCCCAAGACAAGTCAAAAGTATTATCCGGAAGAGATGCACATTTAAAGCCGCTTAATGAAGTATCCAGAGAGAACGTTTTCCAGGCTCGCAGGGGCTTCACATGCTGGGTGATTTGACAGACTGGACTGGAGACTTGTGAGGAAGGGCCCAGTGAGTGTGAGTGTGTGTGTGTGTGTGTGTGTGTGTGTGTGTGCGCCCAGTGTGCAGAAAGAGACTTCTGACTGCCAGTTTTGTGCGCCCAACACCCACTCCGGACCCCCCTCCCTTTGGCAGAGATTGATTGATAGACAGTGTAACAATGTAAAATCTTAAAATAGATAAACAAATTATTATTATTTTATTATTTACAATGACGGTTTTGACAGGAAGAAATAATTTTAAGTGTATGTTTTAATACACATTAAAGTAACAATGTAAAAGTTATATGTATATGTATATATATATATATATATATATATATACAGTTTTTGACAGGAAGGGGTAGTAAAAAGTGTTTTCTTTATTTCAAAATAATCTAACATTAATAGTGGGTAGAAAAAAACCCTGAAGTCAAAGTTAATACTTTTAGATAATATTCAATTCGTTTTGAAAACTTGAAATAAATAAATAATAATAATAATAATTAATCAAAGTTATTTTTTTTTCTTTTTAAAGTAACAGTTCTAGGACGATACAAAAGTAAAATAAAATAAATCTGTTTTAAAGTTTACCGAACATGAATAGTGTCTTAATATGTGGAACTTTATTCCACATAGTAGACTTTTTTTTTTTTAAATAATGAGTTTTGTTTTTATTTTTAGACACTTTTTAAAAACACCTAATTCCAGAAGCAATATCCACTTAATATTTTCCCCACACAAAATGTTTGAAAACCTTTATATAAATAGCCTAATTAAAAAGGGCAGTCTGAAAATGGATGCAATTAGGTTTTAAGCAACCACTCGATTTTGTCTCCTAGCAACACATGCATATCAATATTGTACATTTTCCACACACACACACGCCTACATACTTATAGGCTATATTTTGAAAGGGAAAGTGTTTTTTCCCATGTTTTTTTTTTCCATATATGTACATGCTGTCATTTCTAATATAAAGGACTAATTCGGCTATATGTGAACTCCAAGTCTACAAACGCAACTGAATTAAGCGTTATGCCGCTAGGAGGCGCAGTATGGTTATTTCACACACTCTCAGTGGTAGAGCATTGCGTTAGCAGCGCAAGAGGTCGTAGGTTCGATTCCCAGGGAACACACATACTGGTAAAACATTTATAGCCTGAATGCACTGTAAGTCGCTTCGGATAAAAGCCTCTGCTAAATGCATAAATTATAATTATTATTATGATGATGATATGAAGAAGATGACATTACATCGCTGCTCCACGCGATGGCGATATATAGCAAATATAGTGATTTTACCCAGAAGCAGAAGGAATAAAACAAGCATGCTGTCTGTCATGCAGTAGAAGTTCACACTTTGAAGTTTCAAAGACAGATAAACATCCCTTGAGAAACATGGCCGGAAATATAAAAGATAGAGAGGCATATCAACATCTGAACTTTGTCTATCAGGTTAGTAAGTTTGTGTGTCAGATCTGTTTATTTCTATATCTCCAAACCTTCTCGTGATGTTTTCTGATGATGGATCCCAGGCTGCTCTCTGCGTTTTGGCTCAAAATCCAGAGAATACTGAACTGGCAAGATTTTACTGCCTCACTCAGAAGACCATCTCCAAACGACTGGTGCTCAGACAGTGAGTAGTTAGTGTCTCCTTATTAATGTGGGTTTTAAATAAACAAACATCAATGATGGAGCTTCATTTCCTTGCAGAGATCCATCAGTAAAGAGAACCATTTGCAAAAAATGCTGCACTTGACTAATACCAGGTGTCCCATCAACTGTACGACAAAAAAGTAAGTCTATCTATCTATCTATCTATCTATCTATCTATCTATCTATCTATCTATCTATCTATCTAAAATAAACAATGTATATTAAATCTTCATATTGAAGGAGGACCGATGCGACAACGTAAGACTATTGTGCGATGTTTAAGTTGTGGACTGACCAAACAGTTCCCAAACAACCCAAAACATAAACTGTGGGTGGATCAACCTGAGGCTCAACTAGAAAACCAGACCTCACAAGGTAAAGATAATCATTGACTGTCTTTAAACGGTTTTTGGTCATTGATTTGACTTAAAAGAAGGTCAAACGTACCTGGAGAAAGGTATACATTAGCATCTCAATGGCAGATGCTCAGCTGGCTTGGTCATAAATCTCCAAACGACTGGTGCTCAGACAGTGAGTAGTTAGTGTCTCCTTATTAATGTGGGTTTTAAATAAACAAACATCAATGATGGAGCTTCGTTTCCTTGCAGAGATCCATCAGTAAAGAGAACCATTTGCAAAAAATGCTGCACTTGACTAATACCAGGTGTCCCATCAACTGTACGACAAAAAAGTAAGTCTATCTATCTATCTATCTATCTATCTATCTATCTATCTAAAATAAACAATGTATATTAAATCTTCATATTGAAGGAGGACCGATGCGACAACGTAAGACTATTGTGCGATGTTTAAGTTGTGGACTGACCAAACAGTTCCCAAACAACCCAAAACATAAACTGTGGGTGGATCAACCTGAGGCTCAACTAGAAAACCAGACCTCACAAGGTAAAGATAATCATTGACTGTCTTTAAACGGTTTTTGGTCATTGATTTGACTTAAAAGAAGGTCAAACGTACCTGGAGAAAGGTATACATTAGCATCTCAATGGCAGATGCTCAGCTGGCTTGGTCATAACTGATGGAAGTATGAACCCTGTATGCTGCTATCTTTTCTTCATGGATGCTAACTTTTTTCAGCCAGTCACCTGAGCTGTTTGTGACATGTGACTGCTACCCTACAATAGAGGTCCTTGCAGCGGATAGGACAACTATCCATTTCAACGTCTTTTAAGCATTTATACATCCTCAAATATGCTCAGTTTATTCGTTGTGCATCCCAAATTTATTTCCAATTTCCAAACGTTTTTTTTTTTTAAAGCTAAGCTAACAGGCTAATGTGCTAGTGATATGTTAATATCTAATAAGAGAATGCAAAGATAAGCCTAATCGAACCAGTTATCTTGTGACCTAACTGAAAAAAACAACAACAATTCATAGCTTTCATAGCACAAGCCTGTCAATTTTCCATCTGTTTTTCCATTCGCAAATATTTAGATCACCTCTCAAAAGAATAAAACAAAGGTATGTGAACAAAATGCAAGTTTTGGCCATTTGCAATCCATATTAAGCACCCGCGGCAATATTTCAATCATTAATCAGTGCGACAAAACGTTGAAGTGCCTTAATACATTTAAAACAGTAATATTAAAAGATTAAATTCAGTAATCACCAAGCGGCAACCTCCCGCTCACTCTCGTGAAGCCAACACGGAAGTTACTTAAACTGTAATTCATCAACTGGCCGCTAGAGGGAGTCAATCCCATAGACACCCCCCATGTTAAAATGCCCAACTTTACAGCAGAAAAAAACGTTTACGGCCTGATTCAAAAATGATTTTGGTCTATATAGCTAATTTTGCCCTTCATGACAACTGTGAGGGGGTGAATTTTTTTTATAACTCATACGTTTAAATTATATTAAGCCTTAAAGTTCTGCATAATTAAGGGCGTGGCCACTTGAGTAACCATTTATGATTATCCGGGAGTGACGCGCTGCCAAGATGGCGACGGCCTGCTCCGCCCACTTTGAGCTTCAAAAACTCTCTTCAGAAAACTACGGGTGACGTCACGGACACTACGTCCATGTTTTTATACCATCTATGGTAATCATCATATTAATGATGCATAGTTTACATAGGCAAGCAGATGAGGCCGGAATATGAACGTAATCCGCTTAATGGTTCAGTGTTTTCCTTATAGTCTTCTATGGGAAACCATTTATTGTGAAACTTTGCACATTGTGTTTATATTCTGGGTTCATCTGCTTGCCTGTACAAAATATACATCAATAAGGTGTTTACTGAAATTCGCCTTTTAATATCTGGTTTTACTACATTACTACTTAATGCAATCTGCATAAAAATAATTGTCGGTCAGTGGAGCAAAGCTTCGTTTTGCCCTCCAGGTGGGCGTTCCTATAAGGGTGTGACGTCACATGAAAACTATCAATTGTTCCTGTTTGTCAGTGAAAGCTAAGCTAGCAGGTTAGTCGGCTATATGCTAATCTCACAGGCTAATCTGTTACTGATATGTTAGAATAGCAGGTTAAACGTAGCACTAAGCAAAGTTAAAGGGGTCATATGATGTTGCTAAAAAGAACATTATTTGGTGTAATGCAATGTGTTTACGTAGTTTAAGGTTCAAAACAAATTATTTTCCATATACCGTACATTATTGTTTCTCCCCTATGCCCCACTTTTTAAAAACGCATCGATTTTTACAAAGCTCATCGGTCTGAAAAGCGAGGTGTGCTGTGATTGGCCAGCTATTCAGTGCATTGTGATTGGCTGAATACCTCAAGTGTGTGGCGGAAATGTAATGCCCCTTATACCATATTTGGAAAAACAGCATCTCCATGAAATGACGGCGGCGGCAACAATACTACAACGAGAATAAAAGTTACGCCTTCCTTCTTTGCGTGAACATTTGGGTGGTGTTATGCAAATCTTCCCACATCGTGACGTAGACATGTGGGGGCGTGTTTGAATGAGGTGTTTTAGGAGGGGTGGACGAGTCTTAACTTTTATAAAGAATATCTCTTTGGGTTTGAAACTTACATTTTTGCAACTTTACGGATCTTATCTATGCATGAACAGCTTGTAACACTCCAAAGACAAAGGAAAACTTGAAATTTCATCATATAACCCCTTTAAGACAACATGCATTATACGCAATTGTGTACAAATGACACAATTCACCTTTAACATTGTATCTAACATCTAATACTGTAAATATTCAAATGATTAATCGCGATTAATCACATCCAAAATAAAAGTTTTTGTTTACATAATATATGTGTGTGTACTGTGTATATTTATTATGTATATATAAATACACACACATGCATGTATATATTTAAAAAATATTTACATGTATTTACATTTATATGTTTATATTCTTATATTTTATATTATATTTAATATATAAACACAACATATTTTCCTTACATAC